GACCTCACCTGCACTGACAGTCGCCTCGCTGCGTGGAAATGAATGGAGAGTGAGCGACATCGCCTCCCGTGTGTCGAGCCCTTCACACATGCAGCGGCRCRCGCTCCTCCCGCAGCAGGCAGTGTGGTCGGTCRGCATCCGACCGGAGGACGAGCCGTCACGTAAACGTAAACAGTTCGGCGTTCATTTTCACACACCTGAACCAGGTCCGGATAAGTTTTTTTTCCCCTCTTCATTTGCACTCTCAGCCTCGCTGCTTCCTGTTTTCTCTGTTTTGACTCCAGCTGGTTACGTCATCAAAAAGAATTGCGCGGTTGGCCGGTAGACAACAGATCTCTATCATAGGACAAATTGATATCGTTTCTACCGTATATCGTTTATATTGCGCATTCCTAAACTCACCCATAGCGTGTGTTCAGGTTTCCTCCTAACGTGGAGCCGGCTATCATCCCAATGCCAAAACACAGACCGAGTTTGGACAAAGCATCGGCCCGTTTCTCTGGTTCTGAAAGGTCTGTGACGACCATCTGACAGGCTGCGGACAGAAAAACAAGTTTAAAATAATCTTTTCTCACAAAAAAGATAAATAACATTCAGATTCAGCTGAATTTAGGTCACAACACATAGTTTTTGTGTCGCCTAAAATTACGTAGCTGTGGCAGCCATCTCAAATGAGTCTGTCGATAAAGTTAGACCTGGTAGAATCAGTGTGGTTTAGTCATTTTGATAGCTTTGTGTTTCTGGATCAGGTTTATATCCTGTTTTGGTCTTTTTTGTATTTGTAGATGATGTAACATCATGGATCCTCTCAGGCAGGCACTGTGGCTTTTACAGTCTGATATAAACATGCGTTACTGAGGAGGATCCAAGTGTTTGAAGCTCACCAGGAAGAACGTGCATGAAGACTGTTGGGAGTTTGTGAATGAACAGCAGGATAGGATGAGTGGCTGAGGCCAGCAGCACAAAGAAAACACTGGTTGATGCACATGCTAAAGACAAGGCAGCTCGAGCTCCAAACAGATCTCCAAACCTGCCAAAAAAAAAAGATCAAACCTCACAAACAGCCCCAGCAACAAAAGGTGTGCAACCATAAGCACAAAACATAAACAAATTTATTTGTACTGTTATGGCAATATTTATTTAACAAAGACAGAAATACATGGTCCAAGAATGAAGGTACTCATGAGATGATCAGCTGAGTTTTATTGCAACAATAGGAAACACAGACAACAACCTGGCCTSWCTCTGTGCCTCTGCTTCTCTCTGTCACTGTCTCTCCACACTGTTGAACACTGTCCACTCCACTGT